CGTACTCCTGAACCGTCAGGTAGAAACTGAGCCGACGTCCGGTGCGACCGGCCGGGACAGAGCAAGGGACAGGAGGCTGCGGCTGCGAAAGGCGTACGCCTTGAGAGCACAGTGCCTGTTCACCCTAGTCTGGGAACGGTGACGCATCCCTAGTCCCTGTAAACCCGCCGAGCCAAGGGTGGCAGAAGACATCGCAAGCAAAACCGGCGAGGAAGACACCACTTCGCAGCCGGCACGATCCAGAGAGGCGTTCAACGTGGGAAGGAGACGACGGCAGGACGTGATTCTACATAACCAGTACACCACCCCGGCCGAGGGTCAAGTCGGCGATTAAAAGATCACTGCATTCTCCCAATCTTTCTGTGTGTTTTCACTGGTCAAAAGGGCGGTCACGTATATATAAATTTGGTGGGACGAACACTTACATCTTCTGAGCTAGCCGCACGACATTCGTAGCGAGCAGATAATAAAGAAAATCAGTTCGTTACAAAATGTTTGGCACCCCTTAGTTTAGTCATAAAATTATCAAATGTTGGCAATGGGTAGTTTTCTCTCTGAATAGCTTTATTTGCACGCCGCATATCTATGCATAAACGAATATCACCATCTTTAAATGTAATAACCACCGGTGATATCCAGGCGCTTGGACCAGACGGGTTCAATATTCTCCATGCTTAATGCTTTTTCCAGTTTTTTATCAATTTTTTCTTCCAACGCTGTCGGTACATACCTAATGGGTAGTTGGATGGGAGTAATGGATTCGTCAATCGAAAGTTTGGCTGAAACATTACGCCATTTGGGAAACGGTTCAACTTTTTCAAATATATGTACGCTTAGTCCCAGTCTTAAGACGTTGAATTTTATAGCTGTGTCACGTCCTAACAAAGATTGTTTACTATTTTCAATAACGTAAAAAGTAGTTCAGTTCAGAATCTTTCCGTGCCGAAATCGGTGTTTCGAAAATTTGAAAGACGGTCTAAGGCATAAGCTCTAAATTGGTTTACTGATTCTGTGCGAGCGTTAAACATGACAGCTTTTCCCTCGCGCAATTGTTGCCAATTTGAATGACTGATTAGGTTATACTTTGAACCCGAATCAATAATCATGGCGACCGTATGACCACTTATTTTACACAGAATCTCTTCCTCGCTGGATTGCTCATTTGCTACTCCAAACAGGTTGGTAGGCTTTGAATCGCCATACTCATTTTGAGTTTCAGTACTTATTGATTGTATCCTAGTATTTCCCTGACGTCGCCGTTATCGACCCAGTTCTTTCAAACCGAAGATTGAACGACATTGCTTATAAAAATTCCTGAGTCTATCGCTTTTTCTGCACCTCATGTTCCTAGCGGGGCATTCCGCGCTGTTTTCCGATGCCCTCTTCTACCACATCTTCCGAACTCCATACCCGTACCGTGCTGTATAATTTTGTTAATGCTGCTGCTGGTAGTTGGTGCGGCCATAGACTGCGTTTGTTTGTTTACTTGCTCGTCTATGCAACTTGTTTTTACGATCTCCTCCAAAAATTGCTCATTTTCAAGCAATTTCTTCTTTAAGTCTAATGGGGCCCAGATATCAATAAATTTATCGATTAAACAGATCTTTTCGATTTGTCCCTTAGTCTCACCAAATGAACACTTAGCGATTTGTTGGCGTAATCTAAGTAAAAACTCCGTAAAACCTTCTCCCCTCCGTACGCCATAGCGCCTTGTCCATCGCCTGGCGTAGAAAAGGTTTCAGCTCCGTCATAATTTTTCCTGAAATTAAAACATAAATCCCAAAATAGTCCTTCAACATCGGGCTTTTTTGTATTATCTTTCTTTGCTTTCATTCCATTAGGAACAGATAACTTAAGGCTTTTACTTCCTGTCCTTGATCTCATTCCCTATGGAATAGACTACTTTTTTTTTTTTTTTAGCTTAGGCTCATTCCATTTTGAATAGACTCTTTATTTTTATTTGGATCTCATTCCATTTGGAATAGACTCTCTCTTTTTTTTTCATTTCTTTAATCCTTCCATTTGGCAAGGGTTTTTCCACTCTGGCAATGCTGTGTGCCTGTGTCTTTTTCTTCTTTTTTCTACTTACATTTCCTTTGCACACTTAAAGTTTGCTGATTTAATCGATTCGGTTATCTTTTTCTTGCAAAAAGGTTAGCACAAACTTTATCTCCGGATCTCATCCTCGTCGCCAGTGTAAAGACCACGATATATTGGCCATACGCTCCGGTCGCTGACTCTGGAACTAATAATAAGGCGTTGCCAACCGATTGGCAAAGTACCAGCCAAACCTACTGTGGAGATAGGGAGAGAACATTACTCTTCTCCTTAGCGCCGCTCTCTGCTGGTACAGATCGCCACATGTAGCAATTTTTTAATATATTTTAAAAAACAAAACTGCTATAAGGGCAAACCAAAAAAAAATTAATTTATATATACTTTAAATATTCTTAAAAATTTTAAATTTTAGATATGGCAACGCTTAACCGCCCGATGCTCCGTCTGAAGCAAAAAATACACAACACAAATATGTATTTTGACAAAAGAAAAATTGTGAATTTTTAAACGGATTTCTTAAACGGATTTGAAAAAAAAGTATTCTTTTTGTTTTCCTAAAACAAACTTCAAAAATTCATACTTTTTCATAGAGGGGGATTATTAATAAATATATGATATTATAATGATATTATGTTAATTTAGTTTCATGTGCTGGCATAAGTTTTTAAGGTTAAGACAATTAGGCTATGATATTTTAGACAGGATTTTAAGGTGGCCGGTCAAAGTTTTAGCACCGTTATAAAGGATTCTCCAATAACCCAATCTCCAGAAGTAAAGGTATTTTTATTTAGGTGAGTGTAAGGTTAAAAAAATGCTGTGAAACGAATAGAGTTCACCTTATTACAACCCCTTTTTATTGGCCTATGGCGAGGTAGAAAATATGAATAGGTCATTAGTAAAGTGGTTCAAAAAAGCATATGTAAATGATAAAAATTATAAATAGGAGATTCCAAAATGTATATTGATATTCGAGCTTATATTCCGGGAGCTGAGGATATAGTAGGGGAAATGAACGAATCTGAAAAGAGAGACAGGGATTATATTAATAAGAAAAAAGGAAAGGAGGTGACAGAAAAAACTAGGAGAGGCTCAGTGCCTCTAAGAGTCTAAAGAGTCTAAAACACAAATGGGAGATAAAGTAGTGATAAAGAACGTAATTTTTCTAGCAAGTTAGCTGACTGTAGGACAGTCTATGAGCTAATTCAGATATATGGACGCCTAGTAAGGATATCAGGAGGAGATAAAACGTATTTAAGAATCAGAGGGTTCTGGTTTAGACATTGAATCTTCTCAGCAGTCAGTTGGCAGCGAGCAAGAAAATGGTGCCTCACTTAGTACACAGCCACCACCGTTAACGCAAGCCGAATCGATTCCGGATGTCTCCGTGGCTCTCATTAAGTCAGTTATATATTTACTCTTGTGGAGTGCAGACTATACTGAAGAAATAATAAATATTGTTTGTCAATTTGAATATTTGCGTGCAATTTTTATATAGCTTTTGGGCTGTTTACAGGTCATTACAGACTCCGTATCCAAAATTTATTTTGCCCTAAGCTGGAGATCGGGATCCAAGCGCACAAGCCTTCTCGTTATGCCCAGATTCTTGGCTTTTCACAGTATTAACAACTTTAATCACTGCGCTTTTGCCACGGATTCTTCACTTTCGCAATAAGTACGTCTATTTTTTGTGACGTAGTGTTTCCATTGGTCCAAACGCCTAAAATGATTTTATGTTGTTCAATTGCGTGCTATAATTCGGTGGTACAATTTATTTATATTTAATTTGCTTTGTATCAAACATTACCTACCCGACTGGAGAGAAAATTATATTGAGCTCCTCCGCAACCTTATGCCAAAAATCGACCTTTAGTTCGATTTTTATACCCTTGCTATTATTATAATTTTAGTCAGAAGTTTGCAACGCAGTGAAGAAGAAATTTCCGTCCCCATAAAGTAGATGTATTTGTGATCATCATCAGTCCATGTCCGTTTATACGCAAAATAATCTCTCAGTTCTATAGCATAATGCATAAAATTAATCTAAAACTGGTAGGTAGTACGTAATTCTTTTAAACCTAGTAGTGGTTAAATTAAGAGCTACGCTTTAAATTTTATTGAAATATAAAAACTTTATTATATAGCTGCCATAGGAACGTTGGAATAATTGAGCTGAAAATCATTATGGCTTCCATTTTTTTAACATATACGCATATATTTTGAAATTTAGATGCTTTAAAGAATAATATAATTTAATAGCTGCAAGGGCATATAAGGGTATTTTTGACTCAATACAAAATTTTTCGGAATCAAATAAGCTTACCGGCTGCAGGTACCAAACGAACTTACAATACGGACATGTTTTTCCTTTTTTTTAGTTCAATTGCTTGGACTACTGCCAAGTCCTCCGAGTCAGATCCCTCTTCACCCTGCACTGCTGTCACCATAGTTGCCATCTTCCGGCACCATCCGGCCTCTTGGGTTGTCCACAATATCTAGCCCAATGTCCCATTTGCCGACAGTACTGACGAAGAGATCAGGACAGACATTGTCTTCAAATAAGCAATTGCAGACGCAGATCCTAAGTTATTTTCCAAGCCTTCCACGATGAATCGGAAGATGCGCAACTTGTTGCCGCTCAAGCGTAATATATATCGCAAAGCGCTTTGGTTTTTCAATCATATGTAAAACTAAGTTTTTTTTTATTGTTATCTCAAATACTTGCCGATGTCTTCCGCAAGATAGCAATCGCATATCACAGATGATGTACGCTTGCTTCTATTAAAAAAAACTTTATGGAAAGTTTTATCCAGATACATACAGCACCCTCTGCAAGGGAATTCAATTGATTAGCCATCTATAATTGTAATTTCCCTACTGTTATTTGCTTGTCCAAACACTATGTCAGTACAATGTGTACGTTTTTTTACACCAATTTTTCAGAATAAAGTTTAAATGTCATTTTATTATAAACTACATTTTGTGGATACAGAGAAATATAACTATGTGCCAATCTTTTCAATGTCATCGGCGCTATCAGTATTCAGCACTTCAATTTCTTTTTTAAAATGTTTCTCGATATCAGAGCACACCGTCATAGATTTCTCATCCGTTATAAGATTTATAGCAATCCCAGACTTTCCTGTAAGAAAAAAATTTTGCATGTAAGTATTGGGGAAATACAGTATATAAAAATCTAACATGTTAAAAACCGAGGAGTTCGCTAAATACAAGCAGAGGGGTTAATCAAATCATTGTCAAAAAATAATAAAAACCATTGACAAAACGTAAAATTTCAAACAAATCGGAGTTGAAGCGACTCGACCAAGTCTAACAAACCGATTAGTGTGAAAATGTTCACACATTTTTTTTAACATAAACTAATAGGTTACTACCAAGCGTTTTTTTTTAGTTTTGGTTTTTTTTTTATTTAAAAAAAAAAGTTTACATTTTTTAGTCAAACAGAAACTTTCCACTTCCAAGTGCTACAAACAAAAAATGAAAAAGGGCTCTATGATAACCATGTGAATTATATTACCATTTATACGCAGTATAATTTTAATTGTTCAAATGACCATCTATCCTTTTTTAAATGATTTCAATATTTTGAGATTCAATTTATATAAGATACTTATAATATGAATAAGACAAAATTCTTTTTTGGCTGTTAAAATCAAAATTCATTCCTTACACCCCTTAAGCTAATTGTAAAATATTGTTTCTTATTTTATAAACTTTATTAACAAAAATATTTCCCGAGAAAAATTTAAAATGTTATAAAGGTAGACCAAAAAATAAATTTTTATATAAACTATAAATTTTCTTAAATTTTTTAAATTTTAGATATGGTAACGCTTTACCGCCCCGGTGCTCCGTCTGATACACAACACAAATATGTATTTTGGCAAAAGAAAAATTCTGAATTTTTACCTTCGATTCTTGAACGGATTTGAAAAAAAGAATTCTTTTTTTTTTTTCTAAAACAAACTTAAAAAGTTCAAGATACGATACTTAAGATTTTTATTTATGTGTAGTTTTACGTGCTGACATAAATTTTTTGAAAGTGATGTAATACTACGAAAACATTCCTAGCAATAACAATTCAAATTATTTAAGATATAATCAAAGATCTCCACAGCAAGTTAAAAATGACCAGTGGAAGAATCAGGGAAAAAATATTAATTGGAAGTCTTATAATAATTATGTAAAGCCTACTCGTGTACCCATGGAAATTGATGAATCGACCCAATATCAAAATCGTCCGAATAACAATTTTAATAGAGGTTGTAATTATAATCATTATAATCAAAACCAAACGCAAAAAGTAAATACAGAACAAACAGCCTGAACCACATCCACCAATAAAGCGAGAACCAACTGGTTCAGTTAATCAAACTGTTCAAAAATCAATGAGAGTAAATAACATAGAAGAGGATAATTTTTTAGATCAGAACCTGGAGTAGGAGTACCCTTCATGAAGAGATCAGATATTAAAATCAAAAAAGATTTACAATTATTAAATGATACAGAAGCAAAATCCTGTTACATACAAAAATAATTTATCTAAATAAAAAAGAGCGTCCAATTTATAAAAGGCTTACAACCAATAATGGGTTTCATATTTAATACAAAACAAGTGGACAGTTTTGTATGACGCACTGCAGATTCGCGGCGACATCGATATGACCACTGTCGAAGAAAGGTCAGCAATCGTAGTCATCATGTAACACTACACGGCGGAATAGGACTCACGCTGGCCACGACACGACATCAGTTTTCAATTGTCAATGGAAGACAAACTGTTAGACGTACTCTCAGAAGCTGCATTCAATGTTTTCGGGTACGCCTAAATACAAGTCAACAACTTATGGCCTATCTACCACTTCACAGAGTTACTCCTCCACGTGGACCTTTCATCGCTACGGAAATACAGCCTTTGATTGAGGTGACGACTACGATTGCGGTACCAACTTTATCGGAACCGACAGAGCTCTTTAAAGTTGTCAACGCCCTATAGTCCTAATTTTGGAGGGATATGGGAGACTAAACTTATCTACATTGAGTCTTTTTAGGAGTTCGAATGACCTATGAACAACTAGCCACAGTATTAACACAGATTGAAGCATGTTTAAACTCTTGGCCTCTGTACCCGCTTACAAATGATCTCGACGATCTGTCAGTCTTGATACCGGCACATTTCGTAATAGGCGACTCTTTACTTGCACCACCGAATGTCTCGCCAACGGATGTTTCGCTCAGCACTCAAAGAATCCTCCGCCAATTCTGGATTAATTTGAGCACCGACTGGCTGTTTCACTTACAAGCACGTCCGAAATGGCGACCGGAATCCAAAAATCTTCAAGTCAACGACGTAGTCCTTATTAAAGATGACCGACTTGCTCCTGATGAATGAAAAATTGGCAAAATAATCGAAGTTCACCCAGGCGGGGATAAATTGGTTCGTGTAGCCTCTATTTAAAGCAACGTTAGAACTTACAAACGTTCCGACTCCAAGATCTGGAGACCACCAATACCGCGCAGAACCGATCCAAACCTTGTTTCCAGTAAATAAATTCTTAATCCTCGCACCTGTTGATCGCCAATACAATATGTCATAACATTCGGTCTCTTTTGCAGCACTTGTGAGCCCAATTGGATTTAATACTGGACCCAATATTGGAGGCGGCATGGATAGATTTGTATGACGCACTGCAGGTTCGCGGCGAAGGGCAATGTTAACCTGCGGCACTCTCTCTCTCTCTTTTTCTTATATTACGACTCACTCACTATTGAACTGCCTTGAGAGTTGGTCGCGAATATCTTTATAACTCGAATTCACAATAAACAGCACAAATTTCGCCCAGTTTAATATTCAATAAACAATTGGAGAAGATCAGTAACTATCAACCGTATTGATTCTCATTTACTTGGAACAAGGAAAAGTCCCCTTAGCAGTCTTTTGCTCATCATCGAAATTATCCAGGGAGTTTTTTACAAAATAGAAGCATTAGAATCCGACCTAATTATAGTTTTTAATCTTTTAAGAAAAATAGAAGCTGTAATTAATATTTAATACAAAGGAACTTTTAATTATAAAGAAAACAATAAAGAATAGTAAAATTTTTTTATGATGAAGATAATTCAATAAACCAATTATCGTTAGCTAAAGACAAAATTATTCTTACGTTAAAAGAGTATACTATAAATTTTTGTTTGGTGAGCTCAAAGGAATTAAAAGACAAGCTGTAATGGTTGATAAAGTTTTTTAGCTTGAAAATACAGAATCCTGAGCACACCAACGTAGAAATATCCGTCAACAAAAATTTAAAAAGTTTGGGATCTAAAAGACCTGAACACGCCGACATAGAATTATCCGTCAACAAAAAATTAAAAAGTTTGTGATCTCAAAAAACCTCGAAAACGCCAACGTAGAATTATCCGCCAAAAAAAATTAACAAGTTTGGGATCTAAAAATCCTGAACACACCGACATAAAATAATCCGTCAACAAGATTTTTTTCAACAATTGACTTGGAATCAGGATTCCATCAAGTTTTAATGAAACGTCCTTTTCCACTAAAAATAGAACATTTGAATTTTTACCTTTCGGTTTAACAAATGCACTCAGAATTTTCCAAAAACTTATCACGTCTACATGGATGAGATTATAATTTCAAACAAATCGAGCAACATTACTCGGACTTAATACAAATAATAAGCATTTTACAAATATGAAAATTTCTCTCTGTAGAATTACTTTACATTACGCAGACCGAAGACATAGTACTACAAATGGACAAGTTGAAAGAGCGTACTCGACATTAACGGAAATAGCTCGCTGCATAAAAGAAGAGTTCAATAAAGATATATAATAATATAAACAGACCATTCACTCCAAAACAAACCAAAAACCTTTTTGTTGTGTTTGGTTAGAATCGTTCTCGGTGAGTGCTTGGTACAGACTGACTTTATTCAGAGATCAGCGAGATACACGTGTGTGTGTATACATGTGTGTGCTTATAGAACGAAGGAATACAGATTAGATTTGGATGTGCGAAATAGCGAGAATACATTTTGCTTATACATAACACATCTCCTCCTTTAATTAAGAACTATTTATATGCTTAGTTTTTCTGAAGTCCTTTGGCTTAAAACGATCGACTTCCTGGCGAACACGGCTGCTTTGGCGTACTGGTATGCCTGAAAGACGTCGTGTAGATTGGTTCTGCCTCAGCTGCTGGGTAGGCTCTGCTGCGCGTTCAGGAGGACGAGAAACAGGAACAGGATCAGGTTGCTGAACAACTGACGGAGTTGGCGGTCGATCTTGTTGCTGTATTTCTTGATTGAAGGATGGCTTTGGCAGTTCAGGAATCCACCAAAACTCTGGAGGTCTCTTGATTGAGTTGTTTGCTGACAACTTCGGTTTCAGCTGGTTGAAATGGCGCTTGATGTAACCATTTGACGGTTGAACAATGAACAGCATTTTTCCAACTGGACGGTCGATAGTGCCTTCAATCCACTTTTCTCCCCTTCAATAGTTTCGAGCGTATACCATTTGATTAGATATGTACTTGGTGATTGTCTGTTTATCTTCGACAGGCTGCTCGAAAAGTTGACTAAGCACGGTGCGGACTGGTCGACCGTGGATTTACTGTAAGAAGAAGAAGAAAGATATTTTGTTACAGCTACCCTAAGTGGTATACCGTCTTTGAGGTTCTTCTTGACTGCGAATTTAAACGTCTGTACAAATCGCTCTGCTAATCCGTTGGATGCTGGATGAAACGGTGCTGTGGTAATAAGCTTTATACCGTGCAGTTTGCAGAATTCTTTGAAGGCGTCAGCTGTAAGCTGAGGACCGTTGTCGCTAACCATAGTTTTCGGGTATCCTTCGATGGCGAAAATCGAAGAAAGTGCAGCGACCGTTTTGGCGGTTGTTGTAGACGACATTTGGATGACAAATGGGAACTGTGAGTACGTGTCCACGCATATGAGCCACATAGCGTCAAAGATTGAACCGACGAAGTCGATACGAATTCGCTCCCTTGCTGTTGTTGCTGCTGCCCAACTTTGGTACTCTCTTCGTGCTGCAGGATTGTTGCACTTGCTACAAGACTGAGCAAGGCTTTTGATGTCATCGTCTATG